GCAATGCAGATAAAGTGCCTTGCTCAAGGACACAAGCGAAATGCACAGCGAGGGATTGAAACCCCGACCTCAAGGTTGGGAAACCAAACCTTTCACGCTGCGCCAAACCGCTAATTAATTCCTCTGGTATATTATTATATTTTTTTTTATTATTCTTATGGCCTATATTATTTTTATCCTTTTTATTATTTATTTTATTTTTTTATGGTGATTAATTCTTGACCACCGTGTCAATTTTTATTGTAAACAATGATTTTAATTTTTATAAACAGTGCCTTAGCCAAGGTTTTCAAACAGTGCGGGACAATATCAGGGCGGACCCACTTTACGCGTAAATTCAAATAATGTGGACCCATTTTCTTAAAAGTTTACTTATTTTACGCAAAAATATGAGACATCTGGACCCATTTTCTTAAAATTTTATTCATTTTAGGCTAAATGAGAAATCTGGACCCATTTTTCTAAAAGTGGACGCATTTTATGTATAAAATTCCATAATTTGGAACCATTCTTAAAAATGTGGACCCCATTCTGTGTGGACCCATTAGAAAAAGTGTGTGGGACTGTCCCAACTGTTCCAATAGCTGGCTACGGCATTGCCTGTGCCTGAATACAGTACCAACAATAGGCCGTGTATGATGGGCGAAACTAGCAGCATACCGACAAAATAATATACTCCTGAGTCGCATTTGCGAGATGGTCAGAAAGAAACTCTGTCTCCGTCACTCCGGGCTTCACATAGGGCCCGTCAATTATCTTGCCCTGGGGCCCGTCAGCACCTCGCTACGCCGCTAGTAAAGAAATCGAAATTCTTTGACCTTGCCCTTTGACATTTTCTTCCCAAAAATTAATCATCTCTTTCATTAGATTATTATGTATCGGTACAAAATTCCACTTAATTTTATGATGATTAATCCATTATTTTTTTGCGTAGTTTTTCTAACAGACAAACAGCGGTGAATACAAAACCTTTATGAGGAGGTAATAATACAAACAAGGAATGATATCAGATTATATTTGATTTGAAAAATTTTATACATGGAGCTTCATAATGGGCATTTCATTTCACCTAAGCCCCGCCCCTTGGATATTGTTGCCAGGGTCCCACAATTTCGACAATGTAAAAACTCAAGCCTGGTTCTCACGAGAGCCCTAGTATCCGGATCGGGAGCTAACCGTTAGCGCTAACCGTTAGCACCTGCGTGAGAACGCCCGATCGGTTAGCGCTAACCGTTTAGCGGTATCCGGATGCGCTAACGGTTAGCAACCGCTATCGGTTAGCAAGTTGAGGGCGTTTCTATCATCAACCAATCACACGTACGCGTTTACAATTTCCAGTTTCTTATTGGCTAGTGATTCGATCATCGTATTGTTGGCATCCGGATCGCATGGACGCATGGCAGCTAACGGTTAGCAGGATCCGGATCCTGCTAACCGTTAGCTGCCGTGTGAGAACATAGCCTAAAAGCTCTATGGTAAAAACATACGTAAACACGTGCGTTTGTGACACAACACGTATGTTTGTTGGACACGCACGTATTCCTGGCACTGTTCTGATTGGTCAGTTGTTAAGTTTGGTTGACACACCGGAAAGGTCCATTATAAAGACGTTCGTGCTTGGTGTGCATTATTTATTTCTATTAGTTTATTTATTACATATTCGGCACAAAAATCACAAATCAGGAAAATTATGGCCAGCGGGGTGCCAAGGTGAACATCATGGGCTGAGAGCCCAAAATGTGGGTATCCTCTAAACCCCTTGGCCAAATAAAAATACAATAAATTACAACACAACACAGAGGCAAAGACGATACATCAGATTAAAATGGCCTATAAAAAGATTGATAAATACAGTAACAGGCAACAAACAGAAAACACTTTGTTTTTTTTAACTGGTGAACCTATCGGACTAACGTCTCCCACAAGACCAAGTTATGTTTTAATAAGCTAAGACAGGCGGGTTTCAACTCAAATATTTTTTTTCTTGTATTTTCTCCGTCGCTTTCTCTTCTTTTTACTGGGCTTCAAATTGCGTGTTTCCAATTTGGCAGACGTATTTAACACATTAGATATTTTTGCTGAATTGACAGACATGTTATTGTGAGTCAGATTTCTCTTATTTAGCGAATTTATTTTATCACTTGCGACATTATTATCTGGTTTATTTTCCACTTGCTCCTTTGATAATTTTTGAATTGGCTTGGTAGAAATATTTGATATATTATTATTTACAACTTTTGATGCCATTGTCTTCCTCAATTTTCCTCTGTGTTTGTCCAAAAATGGTGAACGTAGAGTTCCGTTACTTTCTTTTCTCGGCCACATAGGATGTTTGAAAGTGATGTCCATGTAACTTGACCAACGTCGGAATACAGACTTTTCTGTGATGAAGAGATGTCCACCACGTTTTCTGTTTTCACTCTTATTATAATATTCGCACTCACTCTTTTTTTTGATGGACTCGTAGTAGTGATATGCAACACTTGAGTTCGTAGAACTAAAGTAAAACGAGACAAAATAGAAAAAGCAAACCACATTTATTACATTGAGCAATGCATCAAGCTTATTTTATTATTGTTTTGTGCAATTGACTGTATGCTATATCAACCCATTTTAGAAATATATTTTGTTTGGTAGTGCCAATCTCCATTGCACATCATAATGAGGAGCTTCAAACACAGGTGGCATTCAGCGAAAGTAATTTGCATAACACATTTGCATTAGACGTGAGAAAAATCAGAGAAACGTAGAAGCAAAATGTTAGGTCATTAGAAAAACAAGAATATATATATATATATATTTATATATATATACACACATATGTATACACACATATATATATACATACATAGGCATATATCTTATACATGTACATATGTACACATATAAATGCATTTATATATATATATATATATATGCTTTAATATATATATATATATATATATATTATATATATATATATAACGTTTTGAATAAACCTGAAATTTACAACATATGCTTTTTGAATCTTCTTTGCACCTGTCTCTTATACACATCTAGATGTGTATAAGAGACAGCCCTAAAGGAGACAACACAAATTTGATCAAGACAATATGACTTCAACACCTGTCTCTTATACACATCTAGATGTGTATAAGAGACAGTATATATATATATATAATGTCGAATCCATCAGAGTGCTATAGGCCTAGGCCTATCGGTTCTATCTACTTTAGTGATAGAATGATTTTGTTTGTTTACCTGCAGAAGTCTTCATTTGCCATGCCATATACAGTTATATTAGAACAGAATTCCATGGCATGTACAATTGTATACCATCCAGTTGTCAGCATGGTATGGGCCTGCTTTCTGTTATCAATACAAACAATTGAAATCTCTCATTTACAAAAGAATTAGAACAAAACAAAAACGTAAAACACAGATCAAAATTAAGTAAATAATCAATTAACAAATCTTCTTCCAGATTGAGTGTCAACTTCACAGTTGAAGACTTTAACCTGAAACGGATGTGGACTACTCATTCTTACAACTTAATTCTCCCCCATTTCCCCTTTCCCACTTTGCGATTTATACTAACTTGCCATTTCAAGAGTAACTGACGTGGTCTGATAGGAGTAAGGCCTGCGCGTTTTGCAGGCCTATCAGAAATTGTGATAGGTGGAATCCTGCGCGTCTTGCAGGCCTATCATATGTTTAATAAAAGAAACCAGTGTGCCATAGTTTGATAGGTGTTAAGCCTGCGCGTCTTGCAGGCATATCATGTTAAATTGTATAATACAATTTTGGCGAATAAGACTGGTGTTTCGTTGTTCTGTCGTGGTTGCCACAAAAATGTTAAATGACGTGGTTCATGTGTGTGTGACGATAGAAGTCCGGAGACTCTGAAATGGACGTCATGTTAACAAGTTACTATCAAAAACGTGAGTTTATTGTTTCAGTGAGTTTATATTCTCATTATATCCTTTATTCATCTTTAAAATATAAAATGATACAAGGATAAAATATAAAAGCAATATACAATTCCAAAAATAAATAAATAAATAAATAAGGCTCTAGGTTACAGTTTAAAAGACATTAAACTATACAAGAGAGAAAAGCAAAAATTAAAAATAAAAAAAAAAAAAAAAAGAACAAGCTGTCAACAACTAGATCCAGGCCCAGAGTTAAAAATTCAGTAAAAGGGATCGACAGTCACCTTATCTCCCAGGCTGGGCTGTATTTGGAATTCCAGATAATATAACTGGATATAAGGGCCGATTTACTGAGCTTTCTGAGTACCATCCTGTTTTTGGTATAGCTGATTTTAAGAAAGCTTTTAAGGCGCTGGGCATTTTCATTAGTAATGAGCCCTCTTGACCCAACCTCGACGCAAAATAGTTTGCTAGAGTAACCTTTTGATTGAAGATCATCAATCAGATGATCATATTTTTCGGATTTATAAATGTGAGCTTTAAAATATTGGGTTCAAAAGGGACACTTAACTCAAAGATATCAATATTTTTGTCAGATCTATTGACCAAAACTATATCTGGCTTAAGGTTAGTACAAAGTATTTCAGGAGGAATGGTTCCTCCAGCAATAGAAAGACACTTGACGTCCGCAAAGACCTCCCCCTCCGGCCGAAATTCACGGATGAATGCCAACAAGTGGTGGATGATCGAATTGTGACGCCATGCAAATCTACCCTGGTCCAGATACACTTAACACAAGTTAAGGACGTGATTCAAAGTCTCTCTATTACCACAATGTTTACAGACATCAGTAGTACTTTACCCCAAGTTTTAAGGTTGCTCATTGTAGGCAAGAAATCGATTGAGGCTCGAACCGCGAAGCTGAGGACTTTCCGTGGCATATCATAGATGATCGATCTCCATGTTAGGTCGCATGATTCAAGCTCAATTAATTTAAGTACTTCACCCTGCTTAACAAGGGGTTTGATATAGTCAGACCATAATTTCTTACGATCTGCAAATGTAAAATATGAATATATGATAATGTTAGTTAAAATAAAAGTCATGGATATATGCACATTTTAGAAATGCGTTGTTAAATATTTCAAATATTCGGGTGGTAACATAAATATATGCAAAGTAACAATGTTTTATGAAAGGTTTTATAATGTCCAAATATTAAGAGGTATTACTATCGTGAAGTTTTGATATATATACATTTTGGTCAAATTAGCAATGTTATTGTTAATGAATATATTTTGATAAAAGTTGATAATGATGTCTATGTTAATGATACCATTATGCAATGTTTTGATGTTAAATTGCGGCAGCCTTACTGTGCTGTTTGTTTATCTGTTGATTTGGTTATTGCTCAGTGAAACACTTACTTGCTGTGATTACTGATTGTTTGGTCAATGGTTGTGCTGATAGGACTATTATTATACAAGGAGAAGGAGCAACTACGTGTTGACGCCGATTCGTGTGTTGTGACTCTTATTATAATAATAATATAATAATAATAATAATAATAATAATAATAATAATAATAATAATAATAATAATAATAATAATAATAATATCAGGAATTTATAAGGCGCCAATTCCAAAAAAAGATCAAAGGCGCACTATGGAAGTGTGATACCCTCGGAGAACAATATGGAATTTGCGATTTAAAGTTGCAGAGATTAGAAGAAGTAGTTATATTAATAGGAAGCTGGTTCCAAAGAAAAGCAGAGGCAAAGGAGAATGAGCATTGACCATAGCTTTTGGTAGAATATTTGGGAACAAAAAGGAGATTTCGAGAAGATGAACGGAGACGGCGAGATGGAGTATACTTAGTAAGCAGTGCATTTAGGTAGGTTTGTAGGTGAGAACTAACAATTTAAAAACAATTCGTCAGTATGATACAAGCACTGCAAAAGTAAGATGGTTTCAATGAGATTTGAAATTGGAGCAAATAAGCTAAATAAGCCTAATACTTTGTTAAAGTCGCGTATTAATATCTTGTTGTTTAAATATAAGTTCGTGTAGACATAGCTATTATCAAATATAAAATATGTTTAATATGGTCATTTTGTAGACGTATTATCTGCGCACCTTATATTGCATGTTGTTTATGTGGAAAATATAAGAAAAACTAAAAATAACGTAAATTGTGTTATATACCACACCAAGTTAATGAATGGAAACGAGTGGTGGTATATATTGTTTGATGATATGAAATTAAACATATAAAGAAACTACAATCAAGTTGTCTTGGTTCATTGTTAAGGTCTAGTACCTGAGAACGGAATCTAATTACCTTGAACTTGGGCGCTAACTTAATTTAATATCTAAAAGCAAGTTAGCAACCACAGTCACGATTTTTGCTACGATGGAGCACGATTTTAAAAAGATTTAAAAAGTTTTATAATCGCGCTCTATCCTAGTGATTCGTACTAAAAAAGTTCAAGTTTTACGATTCATCAAGACGCTTCTAGGACGCCGTCAATATGTATTACGGCACTAATGCGATAGTGTGACGACATTTTTACGAAACGATAGAGTTACGATTTGCGACGACATACTACGAATTACCAACATTTTAATTCGACGTCAGTACGATTTTACAAAGACGCAAGCACGACGTTAGCACGATTTAACAAGACGCACATCACGTGCGCCGTCCACAATGTATATACATATACATTTATAAATATATATATACATATAAAAATCGTGAAAGCGCGCCGTCCACAATGACTGGGGCTGTGAGCCAGTACACCGGGGCAACCCTTACTCGTCTCGAAAGATGTAATGGGTTCTTTATAGGGCACATGCGCCAATTGTGTACACTGAGCCTACGGGTTATGTCCTTATCCGAGAACAATTATACCACCTCCAGAACCATATGCGAGCGTGCCGTTCGAACCAGCGTCGATTATGACTGTAGGTTGCGGCCACTGCCTTAACCGTTCGGCCATTCGATTCGCCTAAAAATTATTACTGTATGTTATATATATATATACAAAAAAAAAGAGGAAAATATGTATATACAATAAAAAAAAAAATAACATAGAAAAGTATTTAAATTATCATGGTTAATTTTTGTTTCACGTGGTTTCTTTGTTGTTTAATGTTTGCTTTGCAAGTTACACAATGTGTAAATGTCGATTATGATGCAATCTAATCCATTGTTTGTTCTATTAAATGTTATAAAATGTTGACAAAGACTTGGTTTAAATTTGGGAGGTATAAATTTGCATTTTTACGGAGATTATATTTAATATCCTCTTTATTTTGTACATTTTCAAGATTGCAAGTTGTTACCAGGTTTTGCCAAGTAGATAATTACAGCTTTAATGGGTGTAATGTATAAAGTGGTATCATTAAAAGCTCATTATCTAACATGTGGTCTTCTCATCATCAGCTACAAGCAGATTCAGCACCAGTCACACCAAATCATTTTTTACAGAACTACTTTCTGTGCAGCTAACACAGGGAGGACTTGGACAAAAATAAAACCTCTCAATTACGCGCCCGAACCGTTCGTATTTAAAAATATTCGTTCCACCACCTATTTTATGGCGGTTTAGAAAAAGACTTCAGACGTACAAAACATTAGACCATTGAAAAATTAGACACTATACAAACCCAGACCCCCGATTTAACTAAATAAAAACCAAATCGTGTACAAGTCGACAGTTAAACCAGGGAGGTATTATTTATAGTCCCTACCTTCCTGAAAGTGCATTGTACCGTACGTGGTACGAAGCTAATAATAATAATAATAATAATAATAATTTAAATAGATAATTTCGTCGGAATTAATGAAAACTCCCTAAAATGTGCAATTTATAGAGGAAATTGGCCTACCGTAACAAGAAATGCGCGCAAAGAATTTGAGAATTTTAGGCACTTTCAGAGGATGCATTTGTTGTACGGTAAGAATGGCCCCGGAAAAAATGGCCCCGGAAAAAATGGCCCCGGAAATAATGGCCCCGGAATAAATGGCCCCGGTAAAAATGGCCCCACATGACAGGTAGGTAAAAATGGCCCCGGCAATAATCAAATTCTGAATTAAAACTGATTTTCTTGAGTCATTATATGTATTTTTTTATCTTAACTAATTTAGTTTTAAAAAGGAATCTCCCCAATAATCAAATTCTGTATTAAAACTGATTTTCTTGAGTCCATATATGCATTTTATTATCTTAAATAATTTAGTTTTTAAAAGGAATCTAACAAACAAATTGCCATTTGCATTTTACTTTTTGCAAGAATTAATATTCAATGATAAAATATTCAAAGATAAATAAAATGCCATGAATTACACTTTTTATTTTTTTTTCCATTTAAATGTTAAAAAACAGCAACAACATAATCAATAAATCAACATAAATCATGCATTTATTAATACTAAAATAATTTACTTGTGGCCGATTTCACTGAAGCGGAATCACAATTTTCCAGAAATTCAATCTGTGTATTGGTAAACCCCACAAACAGTGGGTTAGTATGAACATCAAATTATTAATTTTTTTTAAAGAAAAAGAGAGTTCTACAATCATAATTATTGATATACCAAGTCAGTCAATCACAATTGAATTGTTTCATTTTCTACAGTGTGTTTTGGAAGGTTTGTGGGATTTAGCAATACCACTTAATCCTACCATAATCACCCTACCCTCACAATCGCACGCCATTTTAATTCTTAGCATAAGCCAGTAGTAGGCACTTGGATTTAGTTAGTGATGAGTAAAAACCAAGTATGCAACTAAATTAGTTGCTTAAATAAATGTATTCCTAATTATTCAGTTTCCTAAAAGCAATACTTCTTTGAATAAACTCTAAGCAGACAATTTATTGCTAAGTTTGCGAGAAAGTAAGCCTCTCCCTTTTCCCATACATGAACTTGTGATTCAAACACACAATTGGTCCACATGCTTTAACTACTGTTTATTTGCATTGTTTACAAAATGAAAAAAATTAATTCATTTGATATTTAACAAAAGTGAAGTTTGTGGTTATCTATGAGTTGCATATTTTGGTAGTTTAAGTACTGTATACTGTATGTCATTCCTCTACTTTGTTTGTGAAATAACGTTTTAAAAACTTTTATTTCTACTATCAAAAAATGTTATTCAATAACATTATTTGCATCTGCTGTAATTGTTAAAAAACAAATGCTTTTAAAGAAATAAAAAAAAAATCACATATTGATCTCAGTTCAAAGGAAAAAATAAAACTTGACAGGAACTAACTAACTAATTTACATATCAATAGGGCCTACTGTGTGGAGCCACAATGGAGCTAAGCAATAATTAGCCCTTCTTAACAGATTAACTAGATAAACAGTTTGGCTTTGACTGAATCAGTTTGTTTGTTAAGTGTAGGTTTCAGTTCTTTGATCCAAAGCATTTCTTTAATTAAGCAATCAAACTTGGATTTGCAATTAGATAAAACCTTGAAATAATTAACAGTTTCAGTAGCACTAATATAATGATCTTTTAAATTTTGTCCTATGTTACCTTTACTGTGCATAATCATTTCTTATTTAAAATAGAATTATTTAATCAATCAGTAACTTGTGTTTTTTTAAAAATAAAATTAATGATTTTCTTTAAAAAGATATATATATATATATATATCATTTCTATTACCGAATTTTTCATTGGGGCCATTTTTACCTACCTGTCATATGGGGCCATTTTTACCGGGGCCATTTTTTCCGGGCCATTTTTTCCGGGGCCATTTTTTCCGGGGCCATTTTTTCCGGGGCCATTCTTACCTATATTCGTCATGAACCTATACTAGTCGTGGTTATTGAAACTTATATAATAATATAACAATCATCGGCCTATTTTCAGCGATGTACATCTATTGATTAACACACACAAATTTGTTAATGCATTAAATGTAACCTAAGTAATTTTCCGCTAGTGCATGCATCGTACACTAACGGAAAACTAATACTTAGGTTAGATTTAATGCTTGAAATTTTTTTCGAGAACTAAATCTAACATTCGTAGCCCATAATAATAATAATAATAATAATAATAATAATAATATATATATATAATATATATATATAATCTATATATATGTATATATATATATATAATATATATATGTATATATTTAGTCATTAACATTAAATATTAGGTGAGGGGTAGGGCGATAAGGTGCTTTGATTACACTTTTTTAAAGTAATATAGATCGTCGTTTTGGCTGCAAAGACAACGGCTGCCATCTCATGTTTCGCTTTTCCAAGACGGCTGCATAAACGGCGGCTAAATCTAGTGTGTCGCTTGCCCCTGTTTTTTGCACTGGACCCCGTCGTGAGTCCCTGTTTTTGATCGTGGCCCACTCCATGTTTCTTTGTTCCAAGAGAGTGACCAGTGTATTAGAATGTTCATTCTACAACATTCAACACTAGACATTTTGTTTTTCTCCAAAACCTGTCTTTAATTATTTAAATATTATGTTCTTAAAGTTCTAGTCTCTAGCTCATTAAACAGTCGTAATGATATCGTACGGGCCTCTGTGGTTAAATGGTACATGACGCTTGCCGAGACAGCGAGAGATTGCGGGTACGATACAATCAGACTTTTTTTTTCATAGGCTACTATAACAAGGAACTGTTGTTAATGAACTATAACAAGGAACTTTTGTTAATGAATTATATGTGATACGATTTTATAACATTGTGTTCCTTTATTTGTTAGCCTGTATTATCATCTATTTGATTTATATACTGGGGTAGATGCAGGATTTGGCGGTAGGGGATGCGTGAGAGTCGACACGACCTCAGCACCATCATGGTTGGATCTGAGGTGAGACAATTTCGAGAATCTACTGTAGATGCCCGGAAATCGCGATCTCATACTTTAAAAAGCTTACCGGTACTATTTTCATAATGACAAAAATATAATATCAGCAATATACAATAGAATATTCTTAATACAATTAAAGGGTGCTCAAGGCGCGAGTTGAGGGGAGGGGGTGCGATCTGATCGTCTGC